ATGTTGTCGTGTGTATGTGTGTGGTCGTGTGTGCTGTGATGTCTTTGTGTGTGTGTGTGTGTGTGTGTGTTGTGTGTCTGTGTATCGTGTGTGTGTGTGTGTGTTCGCTGTGTAGTTGCTGTTGCGTGCGTGTGTGTGCGGTGCGCGCGCGCTATTGTGTGCTGAGAGCTAGAGAGACGCGGGCAAATTTTGTGTGGACGTGTGGCGCGTGTGCTGCGTGCGTGAGTGGTGCATGTGTAGTTGTGCGTTGTGTGTGATGTGTAGGTGTGTGCGTGTGTCGCGCGCGGTTGTGGTGTGCGTGTGGTGTAGGGTGTTGTGTGGACGTGCCGGGTGTGTGTGTGTGCGTGCCGCGCGCGTATGTATTGTGAGATATCGAGCAATAGAACAGAGAGAGAGCGAGGAGAGCGCTGCGTAGATGTTTTGGTGCGGTAGTAAGTGTGTGGCCGTGTAGATTACTGATCGGTGTTAGTCGCTTGTAAACACGGCGGCTTGCGATCTTCTCACGGGAAATATAACAACTGTTCGGAGTCGAATTGGTTCCCCCGCTGGCTCCCCCGCTGCCTTGAGCTATTGAGACATCACATTACATGCGAGCGCGCGGGCGTACCAAAGAGCAATATTTTCACTCAAGCCTTTTTGGTCCCAGCCGCGCGGGCGCAGCTCTATGTCGGTGTTTGGTATATCTGTGGGCGGCGAGGGCGCCATCTTCTCTCGCACACAGCCTCGTGCAGCAATAAACTCCTGTGTTACTGCTAGCAGTGTGGCAGCAATACGACTCTGTGTTACTGTTCGCTGCATCTTGCGCACTAACACCTACTGTGTTCCCTGCTAGCTGCCAGTGTGCAGCAATAACAACTACTGTGTTACGCTGCTAGCTGCATGTGCAGCGCAATAAACAACTACTGTGTTTACTGCTAAGCTGCCTGTGCACAGCAATAAACTACTGTGTTACCTGCACACACACACCACACACACACACACACACGCACACACACATGCACACTCACGCGCACACACACGCACACGCACACACACACACACACACACACTCACGTACACACACGCACGCACAAACGCGCGCGCACACACATGCACACGCACGCACACTCACGCATGTACGCACACTCATGCACGCACGCACACTCACGCACGCAGTCGTCTGCGAATTAACGAAGAAGTCAACGAATCTCCTACTCACCCATAGTCCGACGACGATGACGAATAGGAAGTAGAGAACAATGACGAGAATGTCGGACCAGTGCAGTCTGCCGACGAAGCCGCTGGTCTCCGTCTCCGCCATCGCGTCACCGGTCGGCGTCTGCTAATGTAGTGTAGCTGATCTCTCTCTCTCTCTCTCTCTGTCGCGCGCTCTCTCTCTCTCTCTCTCTGTTTCTCGATCTCCCGCGTTAGGACCGACCCCGCCAGAGATGGCCTACATTCGCTTGTAGCACGGTGAGACCTGCTCGGCTTACCTAAGTTACCTTGTACTGCCTCCCACCTGTGTGCGCTGATGAAGCGTGAAAGAGTGATGCGCTGGCGGCCAATCGGCGCGCGTCGTTCGTGATGACGTCATCGGAGCTGGCCGTTGCTATGGGCGAAGGCATTTCGCGTGTGGGATGTTCGTGGCGTCTGCGCGCTGTGGTTGACAGAGTCGGAATAATAGGAGGTAGGAGATGAAAACAATGTCACCAGGTGGAGAGGGGAGAGGGAGAGAGAAATAGATAGAGGCAGGGCGCGAAACAGGAAGAGATAGGAAGCGAAGTGACAGCAATTAAGAGCGAGCGAGGGAGAAGGAAGTTTGGCAAATGGGAGCGAAAGAGTGAATTCGAAGATAGAGGTGGGAGGGGAACATAGAGAGAATGAAACGCGAGCACGCGAACCAGAACAATAGCGAAACATGCTGATTGACAGAGAAAACTAAAAAGTGGAGAAAAAAAACAGGCGAAAAAGCCAGCGGTACAGATGGGGGTACGAGGGTGAGGAAGTGCGAGAGAGAAGTTCGCTCGCCCACATACATCTCATAAAGGGCATCAACTCCTAAAGAAGTCGGACCCACTGTGCGAATCGTATGATGCTACCAGAACATAACAGAAAATATATAAACGTGGATTTATGCAAAGATAGCAAGTACGCAGCGTGCCGTAACGCAATTTATTGTTGGCCTGTGGCGCTTGCGTCAACAGATGAGCAACAATTCATACCAGTGTCTGTGACCCACCACGCCAGCGCCTAACAACGATGACAGTAACAGCAAATGACATGCATGCGCCCGCGCTGTGCTGCTGCTGCTGCTGTTACTGCTGCTGCTGCTGCTGCTGCTGCTGCTGCTGCTATTGCTACTGCTGCTGCTGCTATTGCTGCTGCTGCTGCTACTGTTGCTGCTGCTGCTGCTGCTGCTACTGCTGCTACTGCTGCTGCTCGCTGCGTGGACTCGTCACGGCGAAATGATTTATTCGTTGGCATGCAGACAACGTCAGCCGTAATAATAGGAGGGGACTCGTACCACCCGACAGGCCTCAGCGTATACGATACACAAGGCTGCATGCATATATATATATATATATATATATATATGTGTGTGTGTGTGTGTGCGTGCGTGCGTGCGTGCGTGCGTGCGTGCGTGT